ATATTAACTATACCATCTTATTGTTTTGATGAAGCATCAAAATTGGGAACTATTAAAAACATTTTTCACAAGTCTGTGCATTTAATTGAATTATTACATGTTTATTCTATTAGTATCTTCTAATTCTTACAAATGTTGAGATGATGTGTAATTCTTCACGCTCTTAAAATTATAATAGAACATAGTAGACACATGAAATGTTTAATATTAAGTTTTAAAGCAGCAAAAGATTTGAGGAAACTTGAAACGGCTTGTTTTAACAAGAATAGTCATGGGAGCTGAGGAGACAGTTGTTTGGAGGAAAGGTTTTTTTTTAAAACTGAGGTTAAAAAACATTCCATAATTCAGGCACATGAACTAAACAAGTGTTTGCCTAAAATAAAGTGAACCCTGTTTAGTGCTGAAATCCATTTAATGAAAAAAGCTTCACATTCTTGCATTTGTTGACAGGGTTGATGAATGAGACATGAAGTAATTTTGCTCTATCTCCCACAAACGCCCGTGCTGACTCATAAAAGAATGAACCAGTGCTGAGAACCTGGTTATAGGAAGTGTTTGGGGGAAACTGTGAAGCAACACACTGATAAAAACAACAGCTGACTTCAAGTTGCTCAACTACTTTAGTTTGGTTTGAAATGTGTGCAGAGCGCCACCTGCTGGAGAAGATGTAACCAACAGAAGAGAGCAGTGGTGGGTAAAAATATCCCTTTTGGACATTTAAATCTAATCCTTGCTTGATTCATTTACACTCCACCCCTTACATGTGGTCATGACGCATGGGTTATAAACAAATAAATTAGATTCTGAACACAAAGGGCTTAAATTAATTGAAACAATGTGAGAAGCTCTGTCTTGTGGCAAACTGTAGAGGTGGTTTGAGCACCTGATTAGGATGCTTCCTGTTTGCCTCCCTCTTTTCAAGGCATGATCCACTGGGAAGAGAGCCTGCGATATAAAATACATCACAAATCTACTCAAAAATATCTGACACAGATTTATTTATTACAAGGTTCATGAGTAGTGTTCAAGCTCAAATAAAAGACTCATTAAAAAGGTGGCAGCTGTTCCCATTTTTCCCCTTTAGTCATCAAAAAAAAAAAGAATACACAAGCACACATCGTCCTGCTCTAACACACTGCTGACAAACTTGTAAACACTGAGTTTATAAAGTGACTGAATATTAATGCCACATAAATCATCGTTTCGGATTCTCAAAGTGAACTTTAAAAAGTTGTTCACATTTTGAACATAACGCTTTAAAACAAAAACCTTTGTTACTTTATATTTAAAAAAACAGAGAAATATGGCAACATTATAAACACAGTTCAACATTTTAACAGCGCTCTAAATTCTGAGGCGACTTCCTAAACTGTCAGGAATCTGACTGCAGCTGGGATGAGTAGTTGAGATCTTTTAAATTCACATTGTGTAATAAAAAAACTACCAACTTAAAGCCTTGAGCACCAAATGAGTGTTTACAGACTTCTGTGGAAAAAAAAAGACATTTGTACAGTTTTAGGAAGAATAATGTTTATGATGTGGAATACCTAAACTGTGAATTTTAATTGTTGGTTCTTCTTTAATATGCAGCCATTTCTTAAAATCATGTTTCACTTTGTCTGTATGTGGCAATTGAAATAAAAAAAATGTACTAAATTTTCCCTTTTAAAATTACAACACCTGAAATCACCTGTTTAAATGTTTGAGTGACATCTAGTGGTAAAGTTATAATATGACACAAACCTCTTCCAGGTATTTAAAGAGTAACTTACCCCAAAATTAACTTTTTTTCGCTGATAAACTGTCTAGAATGTGTCTAAAATGTTATATACTACTGTTTCTGTGCTAATTTTGATGTTTTTGTGCGTATTTGTTCAAATCTGTAACATTTGGTCTAAAAAC